GTCAGTGTCACCTGCACCGCGTTGTCCCCTGTCTGTCGTAGGAGGCCGCGGTCTTCCTGCGCCTTGTGCTGTATGACCCTCCGGTGTTCATTCGACGCGGCATGCAGACCCCGCGCGGGTTGCGAGGTGTTCCGTGGTGAAGCAGACGCGTAGCCATTTGTGATTCAAAGGGTGACTATGTGCGCCTGATTCATGGCTGCTCCTGGTTTTTCGAGGACAGGAGAGACTCGAAAGACAGCAGAGGGGAAGGAGACACATGCGTAAAGCGGCCGATTGCCTTTCATCCATCAAAAATGTGCCGCCAGAAAGCTGCTTTCCCTTCCATCACCACTCTCCTCGCACCCCGATCCCCCTCCTCTCCTCGCCCGTTTCGCCCACACAAGCCCGCCTGACTCGAGCTCCTGTAATTTCACCATCCAAATCAACAGCGGTTGAGCGCAATCCACACTCTTTCAGATCTCACCAAGAAGCTCATACGTACCGTTGCCCTTTCTTTCCGCTCGCAACCATGCAATTCGTGCGCATCTTGTCTCTCGTCTCGCTCGTCGCTTTCTCCAGCCTCGTAGCATCCGTCACCGCTCAAGCCGAGAACGACAATCCCAATGGCAAAGTGCTGTACGTGAGCGATCCTCATTGCAACTCCTACCAATGCCGTATCCACTGGAAGCGCAATCACACCTACTTTGTGAACTGGATCAATCCACCCAAGGGAGAAAAGTTGAGCGTCAAATTGATTCCCGAGACGGATCAGTCTTTGCCCACCTACACTCTGGCCGCGAGCGTCTCTGCTCATGCGGGAAAAGACAAGTGCGATAATGCTGGGACGGGTAAGAAGTGCGGAAGGATCGATTGGACCGTACCGGATGATGCAAAGGCCGGAGAGTACAGCATTGTGGTGGAGAGCTTGAAGACGCACAAACAAGGCTATACCGACGTCGTTCGCATCGGCAAGAAGCAAAGCTCGAACAAGTCCAGGGATGGCAACAAGCACCATCGCCGCTCAGAGTCGAGCAAGCGCGGCGCCTCGGTGGTCAAGTTTGCCGAAAGCGAAAGCGAAAGCTCCTAATGGGTCGACTGTCGCGCCGAAAGCACGCGTCCAACAAAAGTGAGCTGTGGCTTCACGCTGCTCGACCTGATCGCATGGTCATCCGTGTTGTCCTCTGCTGATGCAGCCAATCTTCTTGCAACGAAAGGGAGCGGCCATGCTCTGATCGAGCTCGTGGACCGCTCATCACCAAACTTTTTACTTCTTTCTGAAGCCAGCACCCCTCACAACATCTCTCAGTTCGCCTCGCATACGAGCAACTCCCAGCAAGCGCTCTGCCTTCACATCTCTATCGAAGTCCTAATCGAGCAGCTTCTTCTGGTGCTCCATTCCTGACCATTCCGTCCGAGCCTGTTTTCCTCTAGAAGGCTTGCCGTCTGACTTTCCGCGTCATCCCTGACCCATCTCCGCACGCGTGACGCCTGACAGTCCTCTTCACATACACACATCCTTGTCTAATCAATCATCAACCACCAAGAATGTCAAGAGACTTTCATGGCGGCCAGCGCTAGCAACAGCCATTGTGGTGATCCGAGACGAATTTCCGAGTTTGGTATACAGCGTCAGAGACAAAGACCTTGAGAAGGATAGGATCGAATGCGGCACCAACAAATGCGGCACATCGAGCAGAACAAGCCAAAGGAAGGGTCTATCTGGCTCAAATGCCAGCAGACGTTCATCTAGACCAGCTCCAAAGCAGGCCGACTGGTTGATCCGTATCGAGCATGGCATGTCTCCAAGCGCCCGTGCCCCAAGCCGTCTTGCCTCGCCAGCCGTTTCCATTTGCGGCGGAGCCATTCTGGCTTGTCAAAGGACCAGCGTCTAGACCACTATCAAGCTTCCTGTCCTCTTCTCTGTCCCAATCGCTGCTTCGTCGCCCCGCATCTGTGCTCGGCCCAGCCGGTCTCAGGTCCTCCGCCTTGACAAGATGAGCTCGAAATTTGGCTCGAGGCATGCTAGGCTCCACATTCGCCTTTCGTCCTCTGCCCGCGCTGCTCGTGCCGTTCCTCTGCATCCTTGCAGGTGTAGACGCGCCAGTAGATCGACCCGACGAGCTGCCCAGCCTCGTGCAGTTTGTTCCAGCAGAAGTAGAGACAGGGTTGACGCCAAGGTACTTGGAAGGTGTCGACGCTCCACCTTGGGACGAAGACGAGCGAGGTGTGGGCTTTGACCTGTGCGGCGTGGTGGGGCGTCCGTTGCCCATGGCACTCTGGGAAGATCCAAGGGACAGTTCGCTCATTCGTGGTGAAGCGGCAGTGGACGTCGGATGGGATGCTTGATCCGAACCGAGCGCTGGAGTACTGGCCGCAGGTGCGCTGACCACAGCAGCTTGCTGAGCGGCTAATCTTGCCAACGCACCGCCCAGAGCCTTCGGCCTCAAAGGGGTCGATGCGGCGCTCGAATATGAGGGCGTATTGATGCCAGAAGACCTGGCGCTAGGAGCTCTCGCGGATGTCAGTCCCGCCATGGGCGCATGGCCGGGTGTGGTGCTTCCACTCGGTCTTGCACGCTGCTTGCCCTTGCCCTCGGCTTTCCGAGAAGCATTCCGGCTGACGCTGCAAGGCTGGAATTCTCCAGAAGCTTCATCTTGCAGCCTTCTAAGCAATCTGTTTGCTCTGTGAGATCTCCTAGCAAAGAACTCATTGCCAAGTGTAAGGTCCAGCCGAATGTACTCTACGCCCATGTCGCTCCAATCAAGACTAGGGGCTGTCGGATTCGCTGCACCAGCCGTTGCTGCTCGCGTAGATCCGAAACCAGAGCGATCCGCCCGACTTCCACCCTCATCGACTATCTGTCTGACTCTTCGCGCGATGGGTGTGGAGTGGCCTGTCACTTGCTGTGATCGAGGAGGAGGCGCGATGCCTTCCGCCAGCATGATTCGCTCAGACGGCAAGAGCTCCTTATCGGTGCTACCATGACGCTGTGATCGAGGACCTGCGCTACTGCCTGACAAGTAGAGCGACCCGCTACCCCGCATGTTCTCAAGCTCATCCTCATCATCCGAGCTGTCCGAATCGCTGTCTTCCGACTCGGACAGAGTGGGCTGCTCGACTGTAGGGCCCGGGATGGGTCGCACGTCGGTTTTAGACTGTGTTTGGGGCAAAAATCAGCTTGAGTCGTCTTCAGGGGTCCAGCGTGGTAGCGGATGACTCACACAGTAGAATTGACTAAGCCAGCCATGCTCTGGATCAGGCATGCCCCACTCCTCATCATCATCAGTCCCATCGCCAGGGAATCTCCACACAATACCAAAGTTCAATAGCAGTCTTGCGTTGT